GCCGCGTGCATGTGTGTGTGCGCACGTTTGTGTGTGTTTCCTACGGACCGTCGCGGTAGCCGACTCTTCACCCACAAACTTGTCTTCGGACCCCCGTGTGCTGCGGTTGCTGGACGAGTTCACCGACATCTTCGAGTGAATCGAGTCACCTACCGGTGTGGTGTCGGATCGGCCGATCTCTCACGACATCATTCTTGAGGCCGGTGTCGTGCCGGCGAAAGGTTGCATCTATCGGATGAGCGAGGAGGAACTTGAGGTTCTCCGCGCACAACTCGATGATTTGCTGGCCAAGGGTTGGATCCGCCCTAGCAGTTCCCTATATGGAGCACCAGTTCTCTTCGTCAGGAAGAAGAACAAGGATCTACACTTGTGTATCGACTACTGCAAGCTCAACGCGCAAACCGTCAAGAATGCGGGGCCTCTTCCTCGCATCGACGATCTTCTTGAGCGATTGGGCGGCGCAAAATATTTTTCTAAGATGGATTTGAAATCGGGATATCATCAAATCTCGATCCAGCCGAACGATCGCTACAAAACCGCGTTCAAGACACGGTACGGGCATTTTGAGTGGGTGGTCATGCCTTTTGGCCTCACCAACGCCCCGACGACATTCTAGGCGGCAATGACCAATGAATTTCGTGCAATGTTGGACCGGTTCGTGCTGGTCATTGGAGGATCATCTTAGACGATATTCTCGTCTATAGCCGGTCATTGGAGGATCATCTTGGGCATCCTCGAAGAGTGTTGGAGACGCTTCGCCGTGCCAAGTACAAGGCTAACCGCGACAAGTGTGAATTTGTCCGGCAGGAGCTGGAATACTTGGGCCATTTTGTCACACCGGAGGGCATCAGTCCGCTATCGGACAAGATTCAGGCCGTCTTGAACAAGCTTCAATGCGAGGATCGGCCGTTTGACTTCGGAGAGGAGGCGTGGGGATCATTCTTCGCTCTCAAAGCCGCGCTATTGTCTGCGGAGGTCTTGCGGATATACGACCCGCTCTCGCCTACGCGCGTCACTACAGATGCGTCAGGCTATGGCATTGGTGAAGTCCTCGAGCAACATGATGGTGTGGACTGCCACCCGGTCGAATACTTCAGCAAGAAAGTGCCCATCGTGCATTCCATTGATGATGCACGCAAGAAGGAGCTCCTCCCCTTCGTCCACGCGCTCAAGCGGTGGCGACACTTCCTCCTTGGTCGAAGCCAATTTCACTGGGTAACGGACAACAATCCGTTGGTCTTCTATAAGACCCAAGACACCGTCAACAACACCATCGCTCGATGGATGGCTTTCATCGACCAGTTCGACTTCTTTCCCGATCACATTCTCGGGAAGTCGAATCGTTTTGCAGATGTTCTTTCACGGCGTCCGGATCATTGTACCGCGGTCTACTCAACCTTCGAGATCGACGACGACTTGCGGAACAACTTTATCCGCGGCTACCAAGCCGACCCCGAGTTTCGCGACAAGTACGCGAATTGCTCCTCTCCTAATCCGGCTCCTTCTCACTACTGGATCCAAGAGGGGTACTTGCTTGTCCACACGAGGGGGAAGGACCTTCTTTGCGTACCGAGTGATCGTCACTTGCGTACACGGCTTCTTGGCGAGTTCCACGATGCTCCCGCCACCGGACACTTTGGAGTCAATCGCACGATTGGCCGACTTCGCCACCGATTTTGGTGGTCGGGCCTTTTCGGCGACGCCACACGCTATTGCGAGTCATGCGAGGTTTGCCGACGCTGCAAATCTCGCAACCATCGTCCGTACGGCGAGTTACGACCATTGCCAGTCCCGTTGAGGCGAAGGGAAGCGATCGCAATGGACATTACCGACCCGTTCCCCAAGCACAAGACCAGAGTGGATGGGATTCTCACGGTGGTCGACCGACTCACCAAGTTCGCCATGTTTTTGCCTTGCGCTATCATGCCAAGGCACCGGAGTTGGCCGAGGTTCTTTACGCCGGTTGGATTCAAGCCAAGGGTTACCCCAAGGAGATTGTCTGCAACCGCGATACTCGGTTCATGTCCGATTTTTGGTTGGCGCTCATCAAGCGATGGGGCTCATCTCTCAAGCCCTGTTCAGCTCGCCACCCTAGGACCGATGGCCAGACGGAGAGGGCGCATCAGACCCCACAGGTTCTCCTTCTCACTCTCATCCGCCCCGACCAGAAAGACTGGGTTGAGCGACTGCCGGGCGTCGAGTTGGCCTTCAACTCTTCCATCCACCCGACTATTGGGATATCGCCCTTCGAGTTCGAGCACGGCTCGCCGGTCACGTCACTATTGGACACTATTACTCCATGCACGGTCGAGAGCGACGACCATCTTCTTTTCTTGCGTCGGCTGCAAGAGCTTCTTGTCAAGGCACGCGACCAGATGGCTAAGACGCAGCAGCGCATGAGCCAGCAGGCCAATCACCAGCGTCTTCCTTGTCCATTCCGCGTCGGGGACCTCGTCTGGGTTTCCGTAGCGGAATTCAGCCTTGAACAAGACATCTCTCGCAAGCTCCTTCCGAAATGGATGGGGCCTTGGCCGATCGTAGCACCCGCTGGGAACGCACCCGAAGGACCATCCTTCACGATTCAGCTGCCTGGCCACTTGCCCGTCTACCCAGTCTTTCGTTGCTCCAAATTGGCTCTCTACACGCCAGCGGAACATGACGATTTTTCCGGGAGACATACGCAAGATCCGCCTTCTATGGACAGTTTTAAGGAGGTCGGCGACATCATCTCCTAGCGACGCTACAGCAATAAGCCAACTGAGTATTTGGTGCATTTTGCATGCTGTACACACCGAGCTGACCGTTGGTTAACCCGTGCGGAACTTCAGGCAACAGCTCCAGACGTTCTCGCACGCTATGAACGCAAGATGCAAGGCAAACCGATTTCTTCGGCTCCACGCCTCGCCCGTGTCCAGGTTCCACCTTCAGATCGTCGGCTTCGCCCTCGCCCCAGCTTGACTTCATAAGGAGGGGGGGGTGTTACATGTTGCGCGTGCACACGCGGGCCATTTTGCAGGCCCGACGTCCTTCAGGCCAAAAGCCTGAATTTCAGGCCGAAAGCCTGAAATCCAGGGCTTACAGGCCCCATGTCGGATCAGGCCGAAAGCCTGAATTCCAGGGCCACAGCCCCTATGTCGTTTCAGACTAAAAACGGCATCAGCCATCTTAGCCTGAAACAAAAGGCCATTTTTGGTCGTTCATCAGAATGACCGGCCCTGAAACTCAGGCACCGAACCAGGGTTTCGGAAGAGGCTATTATTAGCATGTTCCCCACGCCAGCCTCAGCTGGCTGTTGCACGCCAGCCCCTGGCACACTTTGGCATTGGCAAGAGCTGCCTCTTCGGCATGGCTCGCCCTTCAGCAGTCAGGAGGCAGGCCGAGGTAGTACATAGGACTTCCCAGGCACTTCCCAGGCAGGCAGTCGACAGTTGTAGTCTTCAGGATTCAGGAGCAGCACTCTGGAGGGAGCGCTGCAGAGAAGTCGTAGTGTTAGCTTGTAGTCTTCAGCGCTAGGAGCAGTAGGTAGTTGTAGTCTCCAGCGCTGGGCGCCATAGCTAGATAGTACTAGAGAGAGAGAGAGATTGGGCGGAGGCCAGAGGCACTTACCTGCAGCGCCGTTGCTCCAGCTTCGTCTTCGAGGTACCTACAACACAGCGCCAATACCACAGGTCAGTATCTGGCTCGTAACAGTGAGAGAGAGTTCTTCTTCTTCCTCTTCTCAGTCCACCACCTCCTT